GAAGAAAATTAATAGAATGAAATACTGTCTAATGAATCTCAGGGCTTGAATGCCTTCATTCTCAGTGACCATCATGCGTAGCTTCATGTCAAGTCACCCAGTTCCCAAGCAAAGAAACCAAAGAAGGGTCCATGAGACAGCCGAGCCAGAAGCAAGAGCTTCACTTGCCTGTTTAATGCCGGACGGTTCTAGGTCCGAAGGGCCTGCCGCTGGGGCAGGCCTTCAGCTCCCGTCCCGATCTCTGTTAATGCATCGAGGTGCGCTTTCTCGTAGACGAGGATTAGCAGGGGGGTTGCCTATGCTGCTACGAACACATGCCTTCTTGAAAACATGCGGTTGTAGGTTCATGAAGCCAAGAATCCAGGCCGACCTTTTGACAACTGCAAATAGCAATTATGCGCAGGCGTGTTTTGCCGGCAACCCCCTGGAGACATGCCCTCAACAATCGGGACTCCTTCCCGCTCCGCTGGAGACATCGGTTAGTTGACTCTTTGTCATCCTGCTTGTTCGTAGTTCGGCTGACTCTGCTGCTGGAGTGGCCAACTCCTATCTTATTCGTCTGCTTTAGCCCCAAGATGTTACTGTCTTCGAGATGTTGCTCCAGTTTTCGATCTTAATCGATCAAGATCCACACCGAAAGGGTACTGTCAGGATATGAATAGCAACCGCCGAGCTGCGGAATCCCTTCCAACCTTATGCACATGGAAATCTGAAGAGGCCCAAGAAGCAGGCTGACCTCAAACCCCAAGCCCTAAACCACTACCTGGACCCTAGAAAACCTACGTTTTTGGGGTTCCTTATCATGATTTCCTTACTTAAGTCCTTCAAAATATGTCGGTTCTTTGGGTTTCAGGTAGGCCCTAAACCATAGAGTTGAGCTTCTCAGCCTTCATCGACATCGCCATCCCACGTCTCGTAGCCATTACCTTGAGCTACCTTAGTTCTCTGAGCTACCAGAACCTGAATATTTGCAGGGTCCCAGCAAATCCTACACTAAGGCAGTAAGGTTTTCAATGTGAGCCTACAAGAAAGTAGGTCATGGTAGTTTCAGGGTAAGGATCATCATGAGCACAACTGCACAGCCAATCAGAGCTATGCAAGAGTCGCACATCCTCCGCTATGTTCATGCACTCACGTCCCTCGCTGGCGAAGCCACGGCCGGATGTCATGACCGCGTGCGGCGAAGAAAGAGCAGGTCTTTTCCCCTAAACCTTATACCTCCTGTGTTCAATTCTACGCCGTAGAGCACAGAAAAGGCCCCTGAAACACAAAAGCCACTCGTTTCATCATGGGCAGGCTCTCTCTCTTGTGGGGGTGGCGGAAGGTGTAACTAAGGAGCTCCTGTCAGGGTACCCTGCATTGGGCGACCCATTCTCGTGGGGGTCGACCTACTCTTGCCCGTGCTAGTCAGCAATCTGCCGTAACTCTAGGGGTGGTACATAAGCCCTAACCTTAAACCCTAAACCCCTAAACCCTAAAGCCTCCTAGCCCTCCCATTAAATGCAAGCTTCAGAGTTCAGTATCATTGCACTGGGTTTGGGAGTCAGGCTCCGCGCCCCAGGAGACATGCAGAATAGATCCAAGAAGTCCACGATCGTTCAATATGGTGGTACCTTACATCCCTAGCGCTCCGAGTTTAGGAGTTTCGACCAATGTCTACATCTACATCCGATGGGCCAGGTCTCCCTAACCCATACACCCCCAACCCGTCAGCGGCAGTGCTGAGCGGCCAACTATGTCGCGTTTGAATCAAATGGTGGCTTATGGCTTGAGGATTGTTAGGGTCACTACAATAGTAGAATCAGAACAAAACAGACCGGTCGGTTAAGGCAGCTTCGTTATAAGGGATTCCTGACGGCGGTTTATATTCCGCAGAAAGACAACAATGCATCGGCTTCAGGGTCCTCGGACAGGCGACGACCAGCGACAAGGGTGCCGGCAAAGGTGGCAAAGGAGCGTTGGTGTTGGGGTATTTTATGGTTCAAGATAGAGGGTTTTGGGTTCATGGCGGTCCGCTCCTATCCACCGATGACCACCTGAGGATAGTCCTGCAAAGACCAAGTTGTGTGGCGAATCATTCGCGCGACAAGTAACAGCTTCCTCCCAGCTGCTAAGAATTTGAAACCACGATTTAAAGCCTTAGACCCAAAGCCCTGAGCCTCAAAACCGCACAGCCTTGCAGACACACTGACATTATGAAACCCTGCCGGCAGCAGCGGACCCATCTGCAAAACCTCTCAACCCCAGCGAACGTTTCGGGTGTAGAGTTTCGGTAGTTTTCTTAAGCTGGCATGGACTGTTCTGGTGATTGCCTCCATTCACCTTCAGACCTTGCATGGCAAAACCCAAACCCAAAACTGCGATAATGATATCCCGGAACCCCCAAACCCCCTACAGCCCCAAACCCTTAACCCCCAAACCCCGTACGACCCTGAACCCTCAAACCCCGAAGCTTTAACCCCCCAGACCCCTAAGACCCTGAACACTCACTCAAACCCTTAACCCCTCAAGCTTTGAATCCCAAAACCCCCTGAAGCCTTTAAACCCCCAAACCCCTAAGACCCTGAACCCTTTGACCCCCTAAACCCTTAACCCCCAAACGCTAAAGCCCCAAACCCCCAAACCCTTAAAACGCACCCTAAACCCTTAAACCCTAACCCCCAAACCCTAAACCCTTTACCCCCCAAACCCTTGCTTGAACACCCTCCGGTTTTTGCTGGTCTCGGCCCTCAGGACCCCCGAAAGCTCCCGGTGGCAAAGCCGCGGGAAAAGGCCTGGCGGCCTTGGGATTTTGATGGTTTCCTTTAAAGGGGTCTACAAAGAGCACAACAAGGGTTACTATGGGTTTAAGGGTTCCTTTAAAGGGGTCTAGGAGGAGGACTACAAGGGGTATTATAGGGGTTTTGGCTTTTATGGTTTCGGGTTTAATGTTGGGTTTAGGGTTTGAGTTTGGGGCTTAGGGTCTGGGGTTTGAGTTCAGGGGCCTTAGCTTCTATGTAGAGTTTACAGCAGTTTCGGGTCTGAGTTTCGGGTTCAGGCTTTAGGATTTGAGTTCAGGGTTTAAGTTTAGGGGTTTAGGCTGGGGCTGAAGGGTATCAGGATTTGTTGGGGGCATCTGGGGGCTTGAAGCCTTCGAAGGCTTGCAAAGTTGGGGTCTGAAGACTTGGTTCAGCTGTACCTGGACCCCAAGAGTATGTAGAACAGTAGCCCTTTATGGGTATTGGGCCATTATTTTACCTACTTGGGGAGGTTTAGGTAATGATAATGAGTGCGTCCAGGGTCCGGGCAGGGAGGCTTAGAGTTCAGGTGTTTAGGGTTTAGGGGATTTGGCTTCCACTCATGCTTTTGAAATGGGGATTCCTGCTGGATTTCCGCGCTCGGTGTTGAGGCTCGAACATTTTGGGCTGCGGATTTGCAGGGTATTATAAGGGCCTAAATAAATATTATTGGCCCCAAAACCCGATTCGAATTATTGAGGTTTTTATCTATGTTTGCAGCCTTCTAGATCCCTTATCGTAGCCCTTTGACCCCTTTAGAGGAACCCTATTCTAGTTATGAAGGCCCGTACTTATGAGGAATCAGTGAACTGAGTGAGGCAAAGTCGCGCCAGCAGCCAAAGCTGCTGCTGGGTCGACGAATCCGAGCTCCTGGGACGGACTTTAGGGTTTAGGGTTTAGGGTTGCATCTAAAGGAATATCCTTGCCTTTGGTTAGTAGGGAATGCAAGAATGGTAGTAATAATAGATATAATTGTACCCCATTCCTCCATTCCCTACTAACCAAAGGTAAGTATCTGGGTGTTCCTTTGGAAATGTTGTTTAGTTGTACTCTCGTAAGAACCCAAAGGTTATTGAGCATGTCGCTGTCGTACGTTTGGAATTGCTTCTGTTTGGCTTGTAGGTTCAGGGTTTAGGGATTCAGAGGTCCGGTATGTAGATGGGCTAGGGCTTTGCAGGGAACGCGAAGACTTCACAGGATTCAATTTGTGGCATCGCAGCCTGTATGAATAAGTTTCGCACACCAGCACTTCCAAAACAAGATTCCTCAAACAATCTGGGTGACCCTTCGAAGCACGGGGACGCAGAACGAGTTGTATGGGGCTTCACAGGCACTTGCATGTGGGGCTGTCAGTAGACTGTCATATCCGGTTGGCGGACAAACAGTGGGACTATATCTATTCTTGGGTCATTGAGAGCTTAGGCTCAGAGCTGTTCTAGCCCTCCCGTGCCATACTCCGTAGACGGTACTATAGATGCTCAACCAGCCATGAGCCTGCAAGCATAACCCTGCGACGTGCAAGCAGGGATATCCTCGGGACTTGCTGCAAACATGATTCGGTCTTGTTGGAGCTGTATGAGTTGTAGTGTTTTTTTTTTCTGAGTTTAGGCTGACTGCTTTGATGTGAACCTGTCTGCAGAATCGGACGCCGGGCTGCTTGAAGTTTCAGTTGAGTTTAGTTCGACAGCCCCCTGCCACCTCACCCCACGGAACCTCACTGTTGGATCAGTAAATTAAAGCCAAATAAATATCCGGGTCTTTGAAAGCAGAGTTATTAATAGAAGCCCTCGCAGCATGAGTTTATGCTAGGCTAAACCCTGAGCCCGAAAAGCCTACATCCTGGTGTGGCTATAAATGCTGAACACCTGAACCCAAGCCGCAGCGCCAAGATCGTGGGGAGACCATTACCGGTGCCAACCTCGAGGTGCGCTTAGCCAGGTAGTGGCTGACTTTGGGATAGGGTTTGGGGTTTGCATTGACCAGGGTGCGATGTCGCCGGTGTAAACGTGATTAGGGTTCCAGGCTTTGGGCGTCCTTGGTCATTACGGACAACAGGGCTTATGATACAAGCTAAGAAGGTCCATGTTGATTTCGAAAGTGATTGTAAGTACCACCAGTTCACCCACAATTGCCTGCTTCGCCTTTCTATCTTACGCCAAGCACCTTTATGCACTTTCTGGCTAGTGCATCGACCACCAAGTGATCACTAAAACGAGTGCAATCATGAACAGCCGCACTGTCCTCCAGGAAGAAGTGACGCGATGGGTGGAGGCTGTTTCTGGTGAAAGTAAAGGCCGGCTGGGTCTGACGTTCTCGGCGCTTTCGGATCTTCCGGGAAGCAATATTTGCAAACGCTACCTGCCGAGTATAAGAGGATTTCTTGTTATGCAGCCTAGCTACCCTTAAATATGTGTTGATGCCCTCAACGACAACACCGAAGTGTGAGACGTTCCCATCTCAAACTCTCTTGACCAGCTTAGGGACGGAACCTCCCAAGACTGCCGTTGTATTGCGTTGCTTCGCAATTGCTTTTGCATTCCGTTGCCTGCGGGTCGGGTGGATGTTGCAGAGCCCTGGGAACAGGAGTATCAAGAGCCAGCAGATGGTGGAATGCCGTTAGACGTTTTTTTTGTCTTGGATTCTTGAGAGCGGACACACTGTGCAATCATTGAACCGGATCTTCTTCGTACGTACTCCTCGCAAGATAGTGTGATGCCATTTAGTAATTTTTCCTCGCCTGCACACACATCATTGCTTTCACTGCTCCACCATGTGATCAGCTGTAACGCTTTGTCCTGTATGTCGAGCTTTGAGAGATAGAAAGGAAAAAGGCAAGCTCACAGGTCCACACCATCCCAGGCCTCAATGCCATACTACTTTGCAAAGTAAGGCCCTACGTTAGGCATTTTCTGCAGTATGCCTCAGTACAGTGGGTTGTATAGAAATCAAATGTTCTGTCAGTGTAGTCTCAGTACAGCAGGCCCCGAAGAAACCCCAAAAGGTTCCGTAAACCCTGAACCCACTGCACCTCAAACCCTAGGCCGAAGAACCGTTCAGATTGTAGAGCTCCAGCAGACCCCTAGACAAGAAACCTACACCTCTTATCGAGCCCTACTGCAGTCTGATTGATCCCTGGACCCAAAACCCGAAACGTTAAACCCTAATTAAACCCTAAAACCTCAAACCCAAAACCTTAAACCGTAAACCCCAAACCATAAACCCTATGCCCTTATAAACCTTAAACCCAAGCCCTTAACCCTCGAAGCCCTGAACCCGGCACCGCGAAGCAGGCGATGCGACCTTTGGGGCCTGGCTGAAGGATGGCCAGGTCAGGATTGAAGCTTCAGGGCTTTGGGGTTCAGGGTATAGGGTTGGGGTTTAGGGATCAGGATTTAGGGTTTGGGGTTAAGGGATCAGGATTTAGGGTTTGGGGTTCAGGGTATAGGGTTCAGGGCTTAGGGTTTAGGGTGTAGGGTTTGCTGTTTAAGGTTCAGGGTTTCGGGTTTAGGGCTTATGAGCACTTATGGGGTTGATAAGGTTTTAGGATTGAACATTTGGGGTTTAGAGTTTGGGGTTTACAGCACAGGAAACTTCTGTTGTTCATGTGTTTAAGTTCACGCTGCAAAGGTGGGCTTAGGATGCTGTGCCCGTGGGCAGTTAGGCTTCTGGGACCAGCGGGGGCACAAATGTAGATTGGATGAAGCTGTTGTCGTTGATGTTTTGGATTTCAGAACTGGGCTGCTGGGCGTCCTTTGCTGTCGACCCCTCTGACGTTTGATTTCTTAGGGCGTTTTGCAAGTGAAGGATGATAAGATAAGTTTAGGGTTCAGGCTACCAGGTGAAGGGTACAGACAGTTCCAGAAGAGTACTGCCTTCGCCTTAACTCTCTAAAGGATGATCACAAGGATGATATCTGAACCCTAATATAGGGGCCTCAATAATTACCAACACTGTTGTGCGGTTCCTTATTACAAGTATAGTATAATGTACCCCAAGTCCTATTCTAACTATTGAGGCCCTTATAGTACACGTCCCTGTCCGCGACGCCGCTTCAGAGCCGATGCCAGGTCCTTTGCAAAGTGGCCAACACCATCCAGCCAGGCCTGCTCCTGCAGTCGCTCTTTCAACATGAGGCTCTCAGGCAGCTACCACCCTCAAACGAGAAAAGAGGCTCCAGGTGTGTGTGTGTGTGTGTGTGTGTATATAATATATACACATATACATATTTTTCTCGAAAACCAACAGGTACGCCCCGAACCTAGAACCCGAGACACCCCAAGCTTTCACAGCTCGCATGCCGAAACGTTATCCTAGAGCCTCAAGAGTGGACATCTCCACCCGGAATCCTTCACGCATCATTTTGCCTCTATGCCCATCTGCATTCAACGGTTGGGGGCGTTTTCTCCGGTTTAGGAGCCGACATTTTAGCCTAGGTTTTGACTTCGAAACCCGAAACGGTGCTTGGTGACGGGTTTCGCTGTTCCTTGCGAGGTATCATTCCGGCCATCAACACTTCCAGGATGCCTTTCAAGCAGATGGTGAGCCTGTCGCTGTTGCCTTTGTCATAGTTGGGTAACATTTTACATCTTAATGGGTACTTAAACCCAATAATGAAAAAAACTTTTCATCCTATCCCAACCATGAATTAGTTGCTGTCGAAGGCTTAGAATTTGGAGTTCAGAGCAGGGCTCCACAGTTGGACGTGGGGCATCTGGCGCACGTGCCATGGCGACGACACGGCCTTCGTAGGCGAACCTCAGGAGTAGCAGTAAGAATTCTGATGCTCTCTTACGGCTGCAGATAGACATTTGGCCTGATGTGGACCTAGCCATTCCTGAGGCTCAAGAACCAGGCGACAACGCCTATCAAGTTTCGTAGCTGTTCGCCATTGCCGTATGCTGCGTTGTTTATGAACCGCTGTGTTGTTTTCTTACGCTACTTGCTTATGACCTGTGATTGTACTGTTTTCCGTTGCTGTGCCACGATGTTCTAGTACAATGTTACGTCATGGTACATGAGACGGTTTGCACCAAATCCTTGTACCGTCACACCATACCACGACAGAGCTTCAGTGGTTGGCAGATTCTGGCAGTTTGCCCTCGGGTCAGGTGGTGATGATGGGATTTGAGGGTTAGACCCTAAACCCTAAACCCTAAACCGCCTTGTCAGCTCTTCGTAGCGTTTGTAAGCCCCTTAGCCAGGAAAACGTCACAGCCTTCATCAAGGCTCCGAGTCATGTAATCCCCTAAGGGTCCATGTACCTAAATAGTATATACTGGGGCCAAAGTATATGCTATTTGGGTACATGGACCCGTAGGGATCGGGCATGGAGATCGTAAGTCTGAGAGGCTTGGGACGGCACGGCTTGGGAGTTGAGAGTAGCTGTAAAGGCTAGTAGTGTCCGTCTGTCCAGCTTGTGCTAGCTACGGGGTAGAAGGTTTCGTCGTCGATATCTGATTCAAGCTTTCGCACGACATGTACCTTACACATGCAAGCCTTTGTTCCGTTGTTCCGGTCGACCGAGAGACCCACCGATCGACCCACCGGCCGCCCATCCCTCCCTCCTTCCCTCCCTCCCTCGCTTCCTGCTTACCCAGACACACACACACATATGCATCCAGACAGACACAAGCATGTACATACATACATACACCTGCAAGTACATGCACGATATGTGTCTTTACTCCAGGTACGACCTGTGGTAGTGTAGGTGCGCAGCAAGCACAAGCAGGTAGATAAGAAAGTTCATGGTATCATGGTCGCGGTCGAGAGGTACTTCCAGACTTCAATCCAAGAACCTCTTCATCGAAGCCCTGGAAGCTCCTCTAAGAACGCTTTGGGGTTAGGGGTTTAAAGTTTGTATTAATATTAGTATTACTATTAGTACTAATATTAGTATTAGTATTAATGTTCATATTAATATTAATATTTTAGGGTTTGGAGTCCACGAGAGGCCTGCCGCACCCTTGGAGTTCTGGAGAAAGATGTCTTTTCCACGGTGGACCTGTTCGAGGCTGGGTGCGCTGTTACTTCGGGAATGGTGTTGGCAGAGTCTTATCGGCATTTCAGTTGTTGTTGCCCTGCTAATGCAGGACAACATGAATGAGGTCTTGAGTTTGTGGGCATTTGCGCATTTTGTGCATGAGCGTTTTTTAACTATATGTACTTGTTGTCACTTTCGAGCATGAGGTCTGAGAGGTTGCCGTTCAGATTTTGTGGTTTGGGAAGGATTCCTTTGGGTTTCCTTCATGTTCCGTCTGCATAAACTAGTGAATTATACTCTGATATACCCCACAACCCCATTTTTCTTCTTATGGCCCCCGTATTGGCAATCTACCTGCTTATCCTCCGAGCGCCGGCTTCGACCGCCTGCAGAGGCCAAGAACCTCACGTCGGTGCAAAGGCAAGGGTGTTTTGATTCCGTTCAGTAGCTCTTTCAGACATCAGCTTCGGGGCTTTAGGTTTCGAGCTGGGGTGTCAGAGTCTCTGGCGCTTCGGGCATTGCCAGTCTAGGGTTTGGGGCTGTGTGGCCTTGGGATATTTGGGTCAGAGTTCCGGGTTTCCGGGCAGTCGGGTCGGGTAGGTGAAGGCAGTGCTGAGCAGCTTTGAAGATGACCATTCGTTTGTTTGGGGTGGAGGTTTGCGGGAATCTGGGTGTGCAGCCTCCGCAACCGGTCGTTCATGTCGAACAAAGCTCTCACTGTTGCCTTTCCCTCGCCCCAGCCTGACCCGATCCCACCCCCTGTCCCCGTCCACGACATTATGCCCTCATATAACTGGAGAAGAGATTTGCCCATGACCCGAATACCCGTGAGCACCCCAGGACCCTGATTATTATCAGAACCCGCAAGCAAGATACGAATACCTCGAGTTCCAGGAAAACCCAACCTTCAGCACTTAATAGCCTAACGTCGAAGACCCCTGCACCCTGAATACCCATAAGCCCTAAGCCTCTCAAGGTGCATCTTCAACCTTGGGTCGATGGTGCGACGAACAGCTCCCGACTTCCCAGGTACCAGCTGGAAGTTCTAGCTTATCGGCTTTTGTTTGGAATGTGGGGCTCGGTTGGAAAGTTGTCCGGAAGCTCTAGTAAGGCCATGCCTTTAAACGGTAGGCGGTAGGCTACTATCCGACATGACCAGAGCATAGGTTGGTTCAGGTAAGCCCTCCATCGCGAAGCCCTGAGTCCTGAGTAGGTTAAGGGGCCACTCAAGGAGGATAAGAAGCCAGCTGTGTCTCGGATGAGGACCATTCCTTGGCGTCGCGCAGAATGCAAAGGCCGATCGAGATTCAGTGAATGCTTTTGGAGTTTTCGGGTTTCTGGTGAAGGATGCACATGGCAGGGATGCAATATGCGGGCTTTAGCAGTTTGAATAGGGCTTTTGGAGCATGTTGTGCTGCAGCCGTAATTGGGCACCGTAGGAAATCGCATCACTGTTTGTTCAAGTGTCGACAAGAACTGCAACATCGCATGAACACTCGAGTGGGGGTTGGCTTCAGTGGCTTTGCCGCAGCAAGACCCTAAACCCATATACCCTAAACCCTAACCCCTAAACCCTAAACCCTAATCCCTAAACACCTAAAGGCAACATCCTACATGGCCGACATGCAGAGCGCGAAGTTGCAGATTGGCCTGTTCTATTCTTCAAGTGTACTGCGCCCTTTCGGATATCCAGGTTTTATGCTTCACGAGCCTAAAGTCCAAGAAACCCCCTGAGCCCTATAAGCCCCAAACCCACATCCCTGCAGTAAGCCATCGCCATAAGCCCTACAAGCCCGGGCAAAACACAATGCTCCGTCATCATCTTCGAAATCTTTCAGGTGGAAGATTCGAAGCGCCAGAGCCAGGCATCGGGGGGTATTTAAGTGGAGCCTAGACCCGAAGGGTTTAGGGTTTTAAGGTTTAGGGTGTAGGGCATTTCGGGTTAGCTTAGAGGATTCAGGGCTTTTAGGGTCTGTTTGGAGAGTCTTGACTTTGGGGGGTTCCAGGCTTTAGGATGTGGGATGTTAGTTAGGGTTGGGCATTTTCGGGTTTGTGTACAAGCTTGATGTTTTGTATGACGAAGGATCTCGGTCTAACGTTTAGGGTTTGATGTCTTGAAATATCTAGGTCTTTTCGCAGCCGTACCCCCATACCCTTCTCACTATTTGGGGCCTCGCAAACCCGCTCCAATGCCGACCCAAGTGCTAAGCACTTGTCCAGCAGGGGCGGCAGTCCTAGTCCTCCGTGCCGACTGGCAAAAAGGAGTACCTGGACCCCAAAAGTATGTAGAAAAAATAGCCTTTTATGGGTATTGGGAAATTATTTTACTTACTTTGGGAGGTTTTGGTAGTAGCGGCTACAGTCGCCACAGGAATTATGGTTTCGGGTTTTGGGGCTTAGGGCTACCTAGGGTGATGCAGCAGTCACATGTAGCGGTGGTAGCAATGATGGCAGGATAGAACCAGGCTAGCTTCCGAAAACAGTCGGCGGCTTGTTCGCCTACCCTTCTACAGTAGGCTTTTCTTGCGTGCACTCGTTGATGCTTGTCCGCTTAATCCAGCCACCTTTTCTGAAATTACTTGTCTAGACTTTAGGAGTCTATGCTTGAAATAACCGGGCCTTGGCAAACAGTATAGAAGCCGTCTGTCCAGCCGTAGAAGCCTTTGACAACCCTTTCATTCGGTCAGTAGTTAGGAAACCCTAAGCCTGCAGGTCGTCACGCAGTTCACTGGCCTACGGCAGGCGCGAGTTGAGCTCGTCTGATGGGCGAGGGTTTTGGGTTTAGGATATACAAGCAATTGGATCTAGTTTTGCGACTATTCAACTGCAATTTCGTTGGAGGTGACGGCAGGCGTCACACGGGCCTACCAGATGTCTGCCACCATGCGATAGCTACGCAATGCTTAGTAGCTCTGAAGTGTAGTAAGTGTGCACAACACATGCTTTGTACGGGTGCATACTAACTAGAGTATAGGTAGTATAGGACATCATCCAATCTTGCCGGGCTCTGGGCTATAAAATATAACCAAACACAAAACGCATCGTTAGGGCTTTAGGGCTGGCTGCATCTTTAGGACGCCTGCTGAGGGTAGAGCCACTGTTTTCCTAGAAAAGCTACGATTCGACTTGTGGTCAGGATCCTCGGGGATTGGGGTTTGAGGTTTTGAGGATGCAGGGTTTAGGGGTTGAGGGTTTAGAGAGTTTAGGGTAGAGCTTGCAGCAGGTGGAGTAATTTCAATATGTCTGGTTTTTTTGCGATCTAGAACTGACCAAGCCATCGCAGCAAGCTCTGTCGCCAGGACATCGCAGATGAGCTGCGGACTGGGCACAACGTCCGTGTAGCAGGGCAGCCGCCCAGCTGACACACCTAAACCCTGGACCCGAACATGTACACCCCCAGCCTCACCAGCAGGTTCCTAACCCATGTTCGGAACTGCGATCGGAGCACTAAGCCTTGCAGCCGAAACTCTGAAGCGTCGGATTCCGTCCGTCTGATGACGGATGCCGGTGACGACATCCGGCGTAGTCTGTGCGGATCGTGGGAGGCAGCTGCATCTTGTTGCTTCACCACATCTGTCAGCTAAATCCAAGCCCTCCTTGCAAAACCCTGCCGCAAATAAACTCACAACGCCCATATTGTTTGTTACTTAAGTGATGCTGCGATGCAGCTAAAGACATTCGGACCCGGTGTCATAGCGAAGCCACCGCTCTAGGTGCCCATCAGGGGGAACCATAACTAGGTGTTGCAGGTGCCTATATTATATCGATATCATGCTAGTATGTGCTTGGCTATTCCCATGAGCGTAGACAGACTTGTTTCAATTAATAGTCGGAAGTCCCCAGTATTTTGGTGAAACAATCAGTTGAAGCAGCGCTCATCTTCTGCCATCTCAATTGATTCCGGTGGCAACACCAGCGCCTGTCAAAAGATATCGTGACAGAGTCGGAAACATGGTAAACAACAGAGATCTTGGCATGAACCCCCAACTGGGCCCGACTGTAAGCTCCCCACCATCAATGCATGAATGTAACGGCCGCTCAGAGTAATTACTAACATCGGGAACACAGAAGACTCCTGGCATCAGGTTATCCTCGCAATGAGAAGCACTGGTGGGGGTTGCATCGCGTGTATTAGCGTTGCCGTTGTTGTGTTACCGTGGACGTCGCCGTCGTCGTTGTTACATTGTTCGTCGTAGCCGCCGCCGACGACGACTGGTTCTGCTGCATGTGAAGCGACCTAAAACAATATTTTTACAACCATAACGACGTAATGCGTGATAGCGGCACTCCATTCACATCGCATGAAAAATACACAGAATCATGATACCAGCAGCAACTGCTGCTAGTAGTTTCGCTCGTAGCAACAATGGCTGCAGTGATGATGTATCCTTAGCCTGGAGTCCCCTAAACCCAAGCGCTTAACCAGTCCCACCCTGCCAAAGCCCCAAACACCCCAAACCTCTGACTCTAAAGAGGACCGCAAACCCTGAACACCCCTGGACCACTAAACGCCTCACTGGACCGTACACCCTGATGCAGCATTGGCTCTTGAGAAGCTGAGAAGTGCCGTCGAGAGCAGAGGCCAAGCTGCTCCGATCGAGTCGACGGCCTCAATACTTAGACTTAGGCTGCTACTGGTGGTTCTTGAAAGGGTGCCTTTTAAAAGGGTCTTGTAAGGGTACAAAAGTATAGGCCCGAATAAGTATCTATACTACTTTTCGGGGCGCCCCTTAGCATAATTAAAGTATGATTCGCCCCAAGACCCTATTCAGAACTGTTAAGGCCCCCCACATCAGGCACTTCAGGGTTCAGGGTTTGGGCTTCAGGGTTTAGGCAGGCCAGTACAGCTCTGACAGGGTGTAAATGAGTTTCGATAGGGCTTAACAGGGTTTGGGTAGGTCTTAACAGGGCGTTAGCAGGTTTGTTTCGATCTTATGAGGCCAGGCTTCATTTTCTCCTTGGCATTTACAAAGGGGTTTGTACGGGGTTTCAACAGGGGTTTATGGGCCCATGTTCAGTAGAGTGGGGGCTGAACCCTGCGGGCCTGTGGGTCTGTAGTACCCAGTAAGTAGAAACTTGAGCTCAGGGCAGCAAGAACTGTAGATTTGTAGCTGCAGGAGTGTCTGAATGTCAGGTTCTTCGACTCTAACCCCTTTATAAGCCCTGAACCCTAGTCCTTATAAACCCTTACACTCACCCAGGCCATGGCAACGCCAGTTCCGGGCCAGTCGGTCGATCTCGGTGTCTACGACCGTTTCCATGCCGGGAGCTCGTGCGAATGGCTTTCCAGAGAGGCTGTAGTATTCTTGCCAAGGACTCCGGGTCCATGTACCAAATAGTATATACTGCGGGCCCAATGTACCCATATAGGGATACTTTCAGGCCAAAGTATATACTATTTGGGTACATGGACCCTTAAGGTAGGGCTCGTAGGGTTTGCTCAGCTTATGCGGTTTAATTAGAGGTGTCGTGGCGGGGGCTTAGAGTTCATGTATGGCACACGATCTAGAGTTCATTTATGGCACACGATCTAGGGTTTTTGCGACCTGGGCTTTTCGCGCTACATTTTTTCAAGTTGGATATCTGCAGTCTGGAGAGAGCCTGCGCACTTCCATGAAACCTGGAAGCCTTTGCCGCATGTGCCCCCTGAGACATCTAGGCCCTGCAACTCAACATTTAGCCTTCCCAACATCCAAGAGCTTCAGTTACACCGCAATTACCTTACACCCACAGCTTTAAACCCCAACCCCATGAATCTGAACACCACCTGGACCCTAGCCTTACCTTACCACTCGATGTTGGGACTCAGGTCCATGCGCAGATGGAACACTTGCAGACGAAGTTCTGGCCTCAAGGCGGTTTAAAGGATGCCGTGCTCCGATTCTGGCTCGACGGACGTTGCAGCGAAAAGCTGAGAGCAAAACCGCACCTACAAGACAATTGCCTTGGGGAATAACCTTCTTCGGTGTTGCTGCTGAGCTGCTGTCGTGTGTGAATCAAAATGCAGACGTCGTTGCGTTTTTGGTGATGCTAAACAGATTATCCCTATCAGCCAATATCGCTTTTGAGTTATTTTGCGGTGCCGTTGTATGGAACGCATAGCGGCTATTACCACACCGTTCATTTTTTGGGGAGCTATTGGAAGTGCTGAAAGCCATACTTGTATCACACGATGCCACATCATGCAACAATAAATTCCAAGCCCCAAACTCAAGCTGAGGTACCATGGTACTGGAGGCGCCGACACTTCGAAGTGGGAATGGGCTGGAGCCTCAGGAGTGATCCTCTCCCCGCCTACTTGGAAGGTTTAGGGTCGAGGGTTCAGTCTCCATCCATGTAAGGTTTACTTTAACCCTGAATAACCTACCTTTCTAGGGTTCCTTATTATGGTTTCCTTTTATAAGTCCTTGAAAAGGTAGGAATTTCCGGGTTAAGGTAGGGTTTGAGGTTTAGGAGGGCTTACTTAGGGTCGAAGGCCCGAGTTTGAGGCTTTGCCGGTGTAGAGGTCCAGACAGCTGGAAGGGTGGGGTTGACGGGTTTGGGCGTTTGCTTGCCGAAGGCCTCCCTAAGCTTCAAAAAGAGCCCAGCTTGATTCGGAAGGCGGCACCGATGCCTGAGGCGACGAACATCCACAGAGATACGATGGCCTCGCACGTGGGCCACTACACGCGTCTAGCGTCCACCGGGCCTCGCTTGTGAACAGTCATGTGTCATGTTTGCCCACTTTCGGCTTTGCAGGTCGAGTATGAGATGTTTGCTTAGAGCGGCCACGTTGGTGGGTTTCTTAGTCCTTTTTGCATCTATCGAAACGAAGCATGCATAACACGGAGGAGGCCGGAAGCAGGATTCTGTGTGCTCCTGTGTGGCACGGTCGTCGAAATCCACAACCCATTCGGCTCTCCGTATCTCTGAGACCCACTGAAACCCTGGAAGGGGTCAAATCGCTAAAACGACGACGAACGCTCCAAGCTCCAAACCCAGAATCCCTAAACTCCTAGTAGTTCTCAACTTGAAATGTGAATCCAGGAAGCCCGACACCCCTAAGCCTTCAAGCCTAAAGTGATCCCAAACTTCTTGAAACACTGGCTTTGGAGGGTTCCTTCAGTCCCAGCTTTTGGCAGATACTTCGCCCTCTGTGAGAACGAGCCGGTGGCCCGGGTGCGCTTCAACTGCCTTCAGGCACATTGAAACGGCTTAGGGCTTGGGGTGTAGGGAGCATGAGAATATCTAAGAGCAAGTTAGGTTGTTAATTTTAGGATGGTATAACAACGGATAGTGTGGTGCTGTTTCATTCCATTTGCCTTAATACATTCCTCTGCATAAATCCCAGATAGATGAAGAGCGCCTTGTTCTACATTGACCCCCTGGTCACTCGGTTCAGTTTCTATGACGTGAGGTGTTGATTGTTTGTGGGGCTTGTCCGGCTTCGGGCAGTCTTTTCAACTGCGGGACTGGGTGAATTTACCCGTACTGTACTGTACTGTACAGGTACCGATAGGATCGTACCGATGCCACTTCATCAAGACTTATTCCATAGCAGCTCGACCCCGGCATGCGTCCACAGCATACGTGGTGCCTACGCCCCAACACCCAAGCGTGAATTAGTTGCTATGCGATAGGAGTGTGCTTCAGATCTTGGAGCTCTGTCGGAGGCCATGATCCAGCCTTGTGGAAAGCCTCCTCTGAAGGCAGATGACATGGAGGACGTCAGGGCTTCGAGCTTTCAAAAGGAATTGGATTTAGCCTGTCAGGAGCTCCGAGGGTTTGGGTTTATAGTAATAGCCTTCGGGGATTGGGCGGGTAGACAAGTTTCTTACGAGCCACACAAAGCAGCAGGAACTAGTCTGAGGGCCGACCCACCTCTCCTCTTCATTGTTTCTCTTCGGCTGAACTTCGAGTTTAATCTCGTCAAAAGGGACACCGCAGCTGCTGCAAGTTAAGTCAAGGTGAGAGATGGGGTGCAATGGCGGCAGAAGTGCCGATAGATGTAGACAGGAGACATAAGGAGATTTTGTCCCAATGCATGGGCAGCAGTGCATTGTTCGAAGTTGACGCTCGTTCAGTAGCAAACTGCATGGTGTTTGGTACCTGTGACCTCGGTAACCCTAGACCTTCGTTTCTGGCTGGGACAAGCTGGTGGACAGATGCATGTGAAAGCCTGTGGGTTCACCGGCACAAGCAAGTGCTGAGGACGGTGCCTTGCTAACGGTCTTCAACCCAAGCAGCAGCATACACAACACACGACAGAATTCTGTGTGTATCAGTGTTCCTTACTGCCCTTGTTTGTCCGTCTCTGTCTCGGTCTCTCTCTCTCTCTCTTTGTTTCGCTCGCTCGGTGGGCCACTTGCTCGCTCCATCATCGGCTTTCTTGGTCCCTCTCTTTCTCGTTCTCTCGCCTTGCTTTCTTCCCGCCCCAAGACTCTCGATTTCCAGTAGCCCGTATCAAAGCGCCATAGTTCGTTCAATTTAAAGAAAACTAGTAAGCCCTAGGCACAAGATCTGAGACCTAAGACGCCTAAGACTCTCAAACCCAGAAGTCCCCCAGCCCTCACCGCTTCAAACCTCTGCAGGACTAGCGGCGAAGCTTGCCCCGTGTCACCAGATTGGGGTCCAAGCAGTGCGAGCTGCCTCTAAATGGCTGAATTAATCATAAAACTCAAAACCAAACTCTAAACACTAAACCTCTTCAAAACTAACCCTAAACACTAAACCCCATTACACTTAATTCCTAAAACACTATTGAGCCTCCGGTTTTGCTGCTTGGACCTCTAACCTCACAGTAGTCGGTGGATGGGAGCTCCCAGCCGCAGCTTCATTCATTCTTGTCTTACCGTTGGTTAGTAGGGAATTGAAGAATGGTAGTAATAGCAGCAGAATGTAGGGTTTCTATATGAGGAATTACTATTATGATTTGGGGAAGTATCCTTTGGTAAGTCTTGTGGCCAAGCTGATATCACCCGTGGGGCGGCCGTGCGCCCTATGCCTATGCTATAGGGGCCTTAATGATCAGAATAGGGTTTTGGGGCCCATGATTATACTATACTTATAGTACTGGTGGATATTTTTTTAAGCCCTATAATAAAATGATAACATGGCATGATGTATTTCGTTGTTGCCATGGGCAAGTTGCAAGAACGAGTAAGCTTCTGACCTAAAGAGGATGCAGCGATCATTGCTAGGTAGGCCTTTGGGACATTTTGCATTTTCCCTTATTGGGCTTAATAGGGCCCTATTTACGAATATTTTTCAGAGGCTTTACAGGGCCAACCTAGATTGTTATTGCCTAGTTTTGGGCTGGATTCCGTGTCGGAGGACCTTGGGCTCTGGGCAGCAAGTGCTGCTACGGTACGATAGGGACCCAAATGATCATAGTACACTGGACCCCCAAAACACTATTCTAATTATTACGGCCCCGATGTTCTATAGGATCTTACAGTTCACTAAGGGCTTAGTGCCTAGTCATGGTAACCTTTGCCACTACACTGACTGTCACTTCTCGACCCCTCTAATGACAGTGTCGGCCGTGCTTTGAAGCATGCACAATGCTGAGGAAGCCTGCAGGGGGAATTTCCTGTCCGACGCGTTGCCAGGCAGTGGCATCAGATATCTGGGAAAACAGTTGCCAGCACATGGTACCGCTTGATCTTTTTCCTTGACAAGGTAACACATCTAAAGCTCGCCGGCAGTTGGATTGTGCGGCGGGAGTATCGTCATTTCCGGCAAGACGACCGAGACGATCATTTTGCAACTGGCTTGCGGCCTTCATGTCGGGCATGTTGAGCACGAAAGGCTGTATGCATTTCATGGACGAAGACATGTTTCAGACTGGGTGATTCCTTTCTTGTGGAAATTGGCTCATGAGTTCTACCATGCCGGTTTGTAGCCAAACAATCACGCCCAAAATGCAATGACATGAACACTATCTTTGGAGAACTCATAGTACGTGAAAGCGCAACTCTAACTAACTCTTGAAGCCCCGTGTTGTCCTTGCTGAGTTTCGCTGTCGTGTTGTACAGGAGAGCATCGACAACGCCCATCAGAGTGCTTAAGGCGCATCCCGTCGAAGATTCGAATCTTTGCAGACTTGAATGCGGAATTATGTACACTCCAAGTTGATCACTTCAGGTCCCCAAACCCTGAATCCGAACGGCCCTCAGTCCCGGCTCAGTGGAGCTAAAGCCAGCCAAATCTGCAATGGCCCTGACTGGACATACGTAGTCAGGCACTCAGAAGCCAGACTGTTGCCGGAATTCGGCTTTTACGGTTTGAGTTCGGATTTGGGGATCACCTGATTATGTGATGACGCAGGCATGGATTGGACTTAGCATGACACAAGCTAGACTCTGTGGTTGTCTTCAATCTTTTATGCTTTGGAGGGAAATTTTGGAAATCGTGCCAGCCCCCACCGCTCGAAACCCATCTTTCACCAGCCATCAAGAGGCAGAGGCGGTTCGTCACGTTCAGTCACCACATACTGCTCGATATTCTGCAACTTCGATTTCATTTTCGAATCGCCACGAAGTCCAGCACTCTTCTAAAGACAAAAGACCCCAACCCGAACTCAAGGGTTAAAATAGGCGCAGCGGGATCGGCGCTAAGGAACTCCGTTTCGGCTTCTGAAGCTCGGGTTGGGTCAAAGACTGCAGTTGGTCTTGTGAACTTGTGAACCACATTCAATGAAGACAACACACACATGCCATCATTACCATGATCAAGTTACCCTGTCAGTTGGAGCAGCGGTGGCAAGATTGGCACGAATGGTTGACAGAAGCTGCTATCACGTCAGTGTGAAGGCAACTTTTCTGTTATCTGTCACGAGCTACATTGGCCCTACATCGCATCGTAGCTTACATGGCTCAGCAGCACCTTACAGACGCATCGCTTATGCTTTCGGTTGTGCCAGAGCCTCTCATTCAGGAAGCTACAAGTCTTGCAGCACTACAGCACGCCAGCAGTCCGCTTCAGGTTTCGAGACTATTGAGACCCCATGCGACCCGAAACCCGAAACCCTGCAGTAGACCGTACAGCCTTACGCCTTTGCGCTTTGGATCGTTCGTTGAAGTCCTGCGACCATGGCTGCAGATGGCATTGAGGACCTGGGAAAGCACGGGCCTTTGATCGTTGCGATAATTTGGATACATATGTAGCAATATTCCTTTTGGCTCCTTGGTGCAGCTACATTACAATGGACCCCAAGACCCTACTACAAGAATTAGGTTAAAGCTCATATTCCCTAAATGCCTATAAGTACGGCTGGCAAAGTATGTAATCGACCAGATCGCGGAAGTCAGTTTGCAGTTCTGAGTGAGAAAACATTGGATGTTGATCGCTGGAATTAGTGTGCCTGACCTTGATTATTTACAGCTTGGACTGTTGGTTGAGACTGGCGCATTCAAGTTCACCTGCAACCTGGCAGAACCTATACCTTTGGCCCTGCTACAAGAAAAGCATTTCAGCTTGTTGCTGAGCTTATCTGTGAGCTGAGAGTCAGTTCGCTCGGGCGGTTGTCCAAACACAAGGCCTCACAAAACAAAGCATCGCATCTAACCAAAAATCCGTGTTACGGTGCTGGCACCGAAACACTCAACAACGAAAGCATCAGTTTACGGAAAAAACCATGTGGGTTCTCCTTCCTGTGAGTCCAATTTGGACGTCTTTGATGCGGCGAGCGTTTTAGGATGGTAACTGAAATTCGAAAACTGTGCCACTGACTACGGCGATCTTGTGATACAAGCCCAGAGCGGCATCTTAAACCCTTATAAACTCAAACAGCCTCCCATATCAGGCTGGATGGCCCAGTCCTGGTATTCGGTGACTTGGCCTCGTTTCAACGGTAGTCGGGGCCATAACCGCCACCATAGTGGGTTTAAGGATTCGGCAGATTTAGGGTTTAGGATAGAGCTTGTCGTGAACAAGTAGCCATGGCGTTGTTCGGAGGAGGACGTTGAGGAGCATTAGGAAAAGGAAAAAGAGGCGGCATCAACAAGAAGAACAGTCACGGTAAGAAGTGTACCCATGGCTTGTGGCCTGCAGATATAAATGTTTCGGTTGGCTGTAAGCTGACATCAAGTTTGATGCAAAGAACCCCCTCGCTGCAGTCTTGACGTATGATGGTGACCATGGTTTAGTCAAAAGTTTAGCCTCATACCTTGCCAATAAACCAAAAACTCGACTTTTCCAAAAGCTGACTACCGATCATGGCGATATGCTGCAGCCCTGTGCACCACTCCGAAACCCTAAACCCTAAACCCTAAACCCCTAAACCCCTAAACCCCTAAACCCTAAACCCCTAAACCCCTAAACCCCTAAACCCTAAACCCCTAAACCGAAAACACCCCAGGCGGTGCATACTCGAACCTGCAGGCCGCTTGTGGGGTTGTCATTTGGGGGAGGGAGGGGGAGGGGGGGAGCGGGTCGTTTCGGCTATGGGGTTCAAGGGTTTTGGGGTTAGTTAGGATATGTTGAGTGGGATGCTTGAAACTGAAGATTTTTGAGGGTTTGGGGGCCAAGGATTTTCTGCCATCAAGGTGTAGCCGTGTCGGTTTTCGTGTGAATGCGAGCGAAGTTATCAATCAGATCTCTGTGAATGACAAGATTCCGTTCCGAGCAGATCAACGCAATTACAGGAGAGTTTTGATGAAACTCTTGCCACATGTGAGGCGGACTTAGTGCAACATGGTGTACAGATCTGAAAGTTACTCCACAAAGATACTCCGTGTTGGTGCTGGGACTGGCGGACAAGCGTAGCGTGCTTTATTCTTCCTTTTCTTCGCGTGTACAGGGCCGAAGACACGTCAATTCCCTGATCCTGGGTATCGCAGCTGACAGGAAGTTGTCAACAGCAGAAAGTTAGAGGCGCAGAAATAAAAGCCCCAGACCTCCCCCAAACCAACTGCTGAACCCTGTTGTTGGAGCAGCATGAGGTATGAGATGCAGAAACTGCGTATGAATCCTACAAAACTGATGATCCATACTAACCCCAGACCTTTAACCTGCAAACCCGAAGCCTTGAATCACACAAACCTGATAGTATCCTGTAAGCTACGAAGACGAGGCTCTGCAGGAAATACTCCGCATCGGCAAGGAGGAGCTGAAGATTCCCCCAGCGAGGCAAGACGCAGACATAACAAATGCTGCTGCAAACTATCGTATTTAGCAGTATCCAGTACATGTTAATAGTAATCCTTGCCGCCAAAATACTAGAGATATAAAGCCGAAGGAGGAAGATTTCAAGAAGAACGATAATGGTCACTAAATGGAGAGAGCTGCTTCTGTGCTGGGATACTCTACGCAATCCTCAGCTCAAGGAGCTCAGCGGTGGCTTTGAGAACCCTCATGATATAGCCCGGAGAACCCGAAACCTTTAAGTTTCAAAGCACTATGCTATAGGGGCCCAAATGATTACCAATATTAAGGTGGGGGTTCCTACTGGACCCCTAAGGCCCCTATCTTAGACTTAGAGCCCAGAAGTCGCAAGCCAGTCTGCAGGACAATCCACACGGGCGATGTGGTCGCCTACTGCGGCCAGCCGATGGAAACCACCGAGCTCTTGCGGCAAAGCGGCGTGAGGCGCCGGAAAGAGTACAAGGTCTATAACATAGGACTCATATTTTGGCGGCTCGCTGAAATTTGCTGGAATTTTACGGCTTATAGGGCGGGGGGGCTCTCAGAGTGCGGTGTTCGGTTTTAGCGTCGAGGGCTTGCTGTTGTTGTGGCTTTGGCCAATTCGGGGTTTGAGGGTTTGGCTTTCGTGTGCTCAGGACGACGATTCTAGCACGGTCTGTTGGGTCCCGAGTGGCTCTAGACTAGAGGCAGCATGGTTCCCTCACGGGCAAGGACCCTTTCCCTTCAGTCATGACGCTATTTTTTGCGGTTGTTCAGGTGTCTCATGGGCAACTGCGAGGCGAGCTGCTGTCTGATCTTTTGGTGTGTTGGCATGCCGGGTCGAGGAGTTTCTTCGTTCGGCTACAGGGCTCGGGGGCTTAAATCTCTATTGAATTCAATTTTGATATACTCGAATAGACCCGCAACCCTCCTCCAATTCTGATTAAGGCCTCCATGTTCAGCTTTGGCGTTGAGGGCTTAGGCTTTGGTTTTTACTGGTAGGGCGGTTGAGCCTTCAACTTCAAAGTCCCGGGCTCGAAATATGTATACAGGGTCGTAGCACCGCGACAGAATCAGTTGACGAAGCCCTGAACCCGACAAGCCGCTTGAGCCCTAAGCCGGCAACATGTTGCAAACAGGCTTTCAGAACCAATGACCCACAACCTTTAGACCCTTAAGCCCGAAACCCTGAGGCCCTGCACCCTGAACCCCCAAAACCTTACATCCTTAAACCCTCGAGCCCTGAACCTTGAAAATGTAATTACTCGAGCCGGGAAGCTGACCCTGACGTCCTAAACTTATATAGCGCCTTGCAACGCCTTGTTGAAACGTTTGCTGTGAAAGAGTCCTGAACTCTTTTCCAAAGCGGTCTCGAGAACCTTGTAGAGGCCTTATGGAACCCCTGTCTAGACCTCCGCCTGCTTTAGGAGAGTGTGGGGCAAGCCAAGAGCGATTGTGGCTGCGGCTTCCCCGAAGATAGTGCCTGCCTCTTGCCTTCATTGTCCAGGAGGTAGGGTTTGACGTTCATTTAGGGGAAGTTTTGGGTTTAGGGTTGACGTGGGGTTTCGGGCTTGTTTGACGTTTCGGCCGGGTTCACTTTGGGGTTGGTTTTGGCTTTACTTATAGACCCCCAAACCCAGAAAGCGTAGGCCCAAAAGCAAAACACTGTAACCCAAGCGTCGCAACCGTGGTTCCCGAAACCCTCAATCCCCAAGTCTACGCTACACCACCAAATCCTGATCTCCTGAACGGCTAATCCCTAAGCCTAAACCCTAAGCCGTGAATCCATAAACTCTTGATCCCTGTAAGCTTAATCCCTGTAACCGTGATCCCCCAAACCTAAACCCCGAATCCCCTAATCCCTCACTCCTCAGCCCCCATCTCTTTAACAACCCAACGGCAGCTCCGGATAGATTTGCATGGGCCTAATCCCTAACTCGAAAGCTCCGACCCCTCCAAGAACCTCGAGGCAACTCCTACAGCCTCAACTGGTATGCGCACGTGCAAGAGCAACTGAAGGGCCGAAAGGACATCTGATTGGGCAGTTCTCTCTAGGTTCCCTTTTCTGGATCCTGTTAAGAAAGGGTACCGTAATATTTTGGGGATCTAAAGAGGGACTGTATTTTAGAGAACTACCTATCTCTTAAACCCACAAGCAGTGCTTAGCATGAGGTTTAGGATTTCGGGGCTTGGGACGTCGCTTACGCGGTCTAGGATTCTAAGTTCTAGCATGGCCTGTCTTTGGAGCTTGTGGCCACTGGGGCGTCAACATCATGTGGTCTTCAGAGCTTATGTTAGGGCAGTGCTTATGTAAGGCTTTCGGATTCCAATTGGCTTGTCTCCGATGGGGTAGTCTTAGTCGGTGGAAGGCTGGGGAATGTCGGTGAAAGTGTACAGTTTCTATGGTCTCGAGTCCAGGATGTCGGCTCTCACTTCAGTGTTTTTGTTGCAGGGGCTCGAACATCAGGTTCAGGTTTTAGGAGTGAAGATCCTTCGTGGCACTTCTTTTGTGCCTGCAGGGATCCTCCCCAAGCCTGCAGAAGCACCGGTTGTCTCCCGTCCATTTTAGGCAGGTTATGGAGCATGCATGTGTAGGGCTTACGGTCGAGGCAGAAATTTTCAAGCAAGCTTAAGCTTTAATGCCAAAGGACTAACACAAAGCCAAACCAAGCCTAACTCAATTTCTGGAAAGTGTGTCCAAAGGACCTCGCCGACTGGATGGGTAGTTTACCCCGACAGTTGCGGCTGCAAGTAGCAGGCGGGACCTAGCATCCAACAAAGGGTTTACGACCGCTTGGCTTTGGAAAAGGGCAATGGATGCCAGGTTTGATGTCTGATCTCTGCTGTGTTGATTTCTCGTCTCCGCAGCTATATACATCCATAGAAAAGTGCAAACATATCGGATGTTCCAGGTTTGTTGGGCCTCCTCCTTGATCTACAGTAGAAGTTGAAGCCAGAAAGTTGGAACATCATGAGCCTCATGCCATTAAAGTAAAGTATTGGGGATCCCAGCATGAATCATCCTAAACCTATGTTCCAACTTTCTGGGGTTCACTATATACTGGTTTAGCCCGAACATCAGTAAGCCTCGTGCCCACAATTAGCTTTCGGGAAGCTCAAGGAGTTACACTGAACCAAGGACGTTGTGTTTATTCGGCTCATCTGCTTTATAGTAAGAACCCTGGCCCTGTAGCACATACAAAAAGCAAGCTACCCCCCCCCCACTTCCAGCAAAAAGCAAGAAATATCATCGGAGTCTTAAACCAGATGTTGAAAAGTTCCTCTAGCTCTACATAAACGAGACTCGCTAGACCCTAAACTCTAAGCCCTATCACCTCCACCTTCCAACACAGGCAAGACCGATTCTAAACCCCGTTCCCACCAGGACGGCGATTGGCCGTTGTGCACGGCAGCCCACGAGGTTCGCCATGTCCGCGAAGAGTTTTTCGGGAGTATAGGGCTCAGGGCCGAGGGTAATAGTACGACTGGTCGCAATAATTCATTGCAATAAGAAGAATGACAGTATGCGCTGATAGTTCCAAACACAGAAACATGCCCCCAAACTCCAATTCTAATCAGTCAGGCCCGTACATTAAATTACAGGGTTGACAGGGTATTTTAAGATTTGGATCGCAGTAGCCCCCCTGCATGCTATTTGGCAGCACCACGACATGTGAGACTAGCGGCAGCGCTTGGTCCATCGCCACGTTCCAGCTGCAGATCGGTCATCATCCGAATATATCCCGGGTTGACACCCTTTCTCCAGGCATCAGCGAGTTCGTGTGGCCATCCAGCAGCGATGAGGATCCCATCCTAATAGCACTTTTGGCGCAGTTGCAATGCTTTGGCCTTTGATTTCGAGATTTATTGGGCTTCTCCGGGTTGCCAGTCGGCACAGGTACATCTCCTGCTTCTAGATCATGATACCTTTGTGCAGCGTATTCCTTGCAATTGCCGCTGCCAGAAAGGGTCCCACAGAACAGCCCCCGGTGCAGAAGTGTTGGTAGTTGGTCTGACGATAAGTCCTGAAGCGAAAAGGGCTGAGGATTACCATCGATGCGCCCTCGACCCGGATGGCCGCGACCCGCCTAACATAGAAGACTGCGCACATATCACGTTCAATCATTTGTGGCGCATGTTATAAGAAGAACAGGAGCTGGCGACGATGATGGCCCCCTTAGCCGGTGCCGTCGACGGAGTTCTTTGTGGTCACTTGACACAACTGTGAGTTTAAGTCGGTTGGGAGTGTAGGTTCTGACAGTCTTGGTGGTCTAGGGCTATGAGCCACCCGCGACCCGACTTCTGGCATAACGGCACCTGGAAGCACCCATCTTCCTCACAGTGTGCGCCACTTAAACCCTAAGCCCAAACTAAAACTACCACGGCCTACTGTGTCTATGGTCTTCATGTAAGCCCTAATTATAATATCGATCTGCTTTAGGGAGCCTACAAAACAAGTAAATTGCATAAGTTCAAGGAGTGCCTAAAGCCCATTGCAGCCTGGGCCTCGAAGGTCACAGTGGCATTCCGTTTGCGCGCCTAATACCCGGCAGCGAGCAGGCCGCGGGTTGTCCGAATTCACCGGGGGTGCTAAAAAGTTTTGTCAAAAGTTTAGACTATACAGGTAAGCGGAGGTCTTAACAAGATGGACCAACCGAAGAACCAACTTAGTTTTTGGGGGAAAGGCATTCGGAACAACTTGTGCAAGAAATCTCTGATCTCTTGGGCTCAGTGCCCAGCCTTGCATGTGTGAACCTTAAACCCTATAAACCCTAAACCTTATAAACCCTACAAGCCCTAACAGCCCCTTACATGGATGCAGGGAGATACGAGACTCTGGATGAATGCTGGAGTCATCGGCATGCCGGCGAACGACGGCACCCGGCGCGTTTGGTGCGCCCCGTACTGGAGTCCGGCTGGATTTCAGCAAGAAGGGTTCATGGTCTCGGACAGAAGTTACTGTGAAATCGAGACAGACCAACCGAATCCTTCGCCCTGCAACCTGTGCTTTTAATGCCCGGAAATGGTTGAACCAGGTACGCTCTGTTGGAGCCTTCCCCGGAGGGCTTGAAGATCAGATGCTTGGCGTGCAAGTTAGACTGCTCTGGGAGAAGTGGCATTGTCACGGCCCTAGATAGTCGTGTCCTCATCAGCGAGACTGAACACCCTGAAACCCTCGTTAAATCCAGAGCTCTGTATGGCTTCCTCGACGCCATCTGCAGGTTTGCGTTCCTTCAACTATGATGCGGAAGGACAGGAAGGGTTCAGGGTTGTGGGTCTTATGTTGGGATGTCGAGTTTGGCTATTGGTGTTGGGCCTAGGGTTGAGTTGAAGTGATCAGGAGCCCCTAGAAGTTGGAACCTTGCGGTTTCCTATGTTTTGCATGGTCGGGCGAAAACGGATGAATTGTGCTGTCAGGGAATGTCGGAAGCCTCCGAATTACATCCCCTAAACCCCCTCCCCTAAGCCCGAATGTTGTCCTAAGCCCTAAACCTCCCTAAGCCCTACCCCCTACCTTAACCCGGAATAACTTACCTTTTTAAGGACTTATATAAAGAAATCACAATAAAGAACCCTAAAGAGGTAGGCTATTCAGGGCTAAGGTAGGAGCTAAACCCTGGCTCTTGCATCAGGAGCCGCCAATTCGATTCTCGCCCACACGAAGCTTGGTCCATATTGCCCAGACCTCGTAAGCCAGATCCGTCCGAGGTGAACCCCCAATGCCCTTGCCTAAACCCGAAGATTTACTGTAGGAGCCTTTAAATTTAATTGCCTGTACTATTTTTGGGGGTTCCTTATTATAATCATAGTATATTGGGCCGCCCAAGCCCTATTCTGATTATTCAGGCCCCTATATATTACAAGCCCGACGATGAGCCCTCAAGTCCAACGACTCCCTAAAGCAGAAGCAGCCTGACGAAGCAAGCTAAGGAACCTGGTGCGGGGATATGCTGACGCTCTGAAGACAGGCATTTGGCCGTCGCACGACTCCTTGATGCAGAAGTCTGTGCAGTTGAAGAGGGTTCTTCCGGAGAATCCAGCTTCCTAAGGAACAAACGACCCTCAAGATGTAGAGGGTTCTACATTGGTATACTAAAAACTATCACCACCCACGAAGGATCTTCCAATACCTTCACATGCAACTCCCACGTCAGCATCACCATGTGCATGATTCGAGCACATATTTCTGATCAAAGACAGGGTTACAGAGCAACTAACCTTGTAGGTTCAGGATATTTGTCAGATCTTGCCGGCACCTCGTTCGACGTGAAACTTGCGTGCTTAAGTAGCTTACAACCGCTTTTGGAGTGCAGATTGTTTGAGTTGTCACAGGCCTTAACATTCAAGCAGCCTCGGTGTTCGGGGTCTATGCTTGGCAAAGACGACATGACACGCCAGCAGGATCTTACATACATGTCGTTCTATCATGCCAGCGGACCCTTGCACATAGTTTTTCGTTGAGTTCATATATGTATACATATTATATATACACACACATATGTACATATGTTCATGTGCACAGACATACTTGTACCATCATGAACCACGAAACCCTATTCTAATTACTTTCATCAAGCTGAGGACATTCTGCCGGTTGAGGAAGCAATGGCTTCAGGGGTGGCCATCCGAGACAAGGCGGGAAACCGCCTGGGAAAATTTTGGGTAAGCTTGCTGAGGCTCATAGCACTTAAACCAGCAAGCAATGATCAGACATGCCTGCTTGAAATACTGCGCCGAGTCAACACTTAAAGAACTGATGCTGGCCCAGCCGAGGGCACCTGCGTGAGACTTCTACACCTAAGCTGCTCCATAACCTTCAGCCCTAAACCCGAAAAGGCCCAACACTCCAAGCCCTGAACGCCAAAGCCGAAACCCCATCCCGACACAGAGATTTTTCTCAGGAGCACTTCTGGCCCAACCCTCCGAAGACCAGGACTGGCAGACGGTGTTCCCAGCTTTGTATATTGTGGTATACGTAAAAGCATTATGATAATTCCAAACTGTCAGCAAAATGTCGTGCTGGGGGGAGGGTATATTGTTGTATACTATTTAGAGGGACTCGAAGCTGATGTTATGGCTAACCATTCATTTCAATTAATATGTTATTCAGATGAGCAGAAGCTTCCGCAGAACTGAAACTCTAAAGCCTCCAAGCAACCCTGAGGCCGGAAAGCCCAGCCCTGAGTGAGTTGCACCAAGTAATCTAGGGGCCTTATTAATCACCTATGCTATTTGGAGGCTCCTTAATACAATTGTAATATAATGGGCCCCAAAACCCTATTCTAATTGTTAAGGCCCTGATATAAAGGGGCGGTCTCGTCTGGAACACTGGCATCTTGGCTTGGACTGCGGCAAAGAACCCTGGGCCGAAAAGGCCTAACACCCTTAACCCTGAACACTACAATCCTAGGCGCCCTTAACCTTAAAGCAAAACGGAACACGAACCAAACAAAGCAAGAACAAACGACTTATTCAACTACTGCCATACCTCTCTCGATCGAATCCCTTGTTGCCGTGCTCCCTTGGATTTGCGGACCCTTGAACCCCTATAACCTCCCAAGATCTTTCCGGATTGTGGGAGCCCAGCTGTTGGAAGATACGCGATCAACTCAGAAACCTGTAGTGCATGCAGCACGTGAATCACCACCTCAAAGCCCGAACCCTATAAAACTTCAAAACCATTAAAACTCTATTAAACAACAAGAACTGCATGACAACTATTATGAATGAGGACCCTCTGGCCGCTAGTGCTGGTAGCCTCTGCCCTCGCGGCCGTGGCCGCTGTGGCGCTGGCCCGGCGGAAGCAGCAGTGACTGCAGGCGAAGTCGTCATCGCAGTCGGAGTGGTAGTCATTTGGGTTTCGGGTTTAGGTGGATTCGTAATCATCGTAGGATCCAGGGTGGGTTAGTAGCGGTGGTCGCGTCCCCAGAAGAGCCCTTTTTCCATGAGGGTCTTGTGCCAATACAGCGGGCCACACATAGGTTGGGTATGACTGCAGCAACACAGAAGATATGCCCCCCTCATGTCAATGTCCACAACATGCCGTTCGCCTTGCAGATAAACGTATCCTCCTGACAATGCTGAACCAGGCAGATAGAAGCACAAGAAACACCTGTTGGCCCAACGGTTTGGTTACTGTAGCCCACGGAACTCCGATGTCGAACGAGCAAGGAAACCCCAAGCCCGAGACAGACGTGCCTGCATAGTGGCGCCGCGCACAAGGCTCAACTCAGGGAAGCGTCGTTCTGCGCATTAGCAGACCGGCTTCCGGGTGCAAGGCTTCGCCTTATCAGAGATGGCTTTAGACACAAGTCACACAAGTGATCATCTTAAGTGCCGACAGTTGCCCAGAATCCTAAGCCCCCAAATCCCCCAAACCTAGTGTGAGGGTCCCACGCGATGCCATCAGCCAGAACAGCCTCGATTGTTGAGACGAAGTGCGAACGCCTGCAACGACGAAGCTGATCCAGCTTCAGTCAGACCCGAGCGTTGACTTCGAAAGACTGGCAGTGTTGATCTTCTACAGGTTGTTATATAGGGTCTTCTTAAGCGCTTTGGTGGAAGTTTTATTAAGGTTTAGTCCGGCTCCTGTTTTAGTTTTCGGCGTACTGAAGAGGAGTTCAGTTCAGGCGTCTGTGTGGTTCATATTTGCTCAGTGCTCGTGGGTCAGTTCCGGTCTTGAGAGGTCAGTAAGGTTTTCGGCTCTAGCGTTGAGCCTTGAGCGTGAAGACATGGGGGTCGAAGGCAGATGACGTTTTAGGTTTGTGGTTTGGATCCTTTTGAAGCCTGCCATTTAAAGTTCTTCTTCTTCCTGCTGTCATTCATTTAGGGTTTTGAAGGGTTGCCTACAGGGTTTGTAGAGTTTACAGGTTTAGCGATGCTGATTGTTGGTTGTGGTTTCAAAGTTTCCAAGACCCAGCATGAACAGATGCAACGCAGACGAGCCATGCCCAACGCACGGTTTAAAGGGCCATGCAGCGGTAGAATTTGCTTTCAAACCCCAAACCTCAACCACCAAATGTGGAAGAGTTGAACTGAGCCCGAATAGCATGAGCACCGATGCGGCCCAGGCCGATCGTGGAATACATCCTGTGGGAGGTTGCGCGGGGCATGTTTTGTACTAGTGTACAGATTAGTGCTGCGGCTGGTGCCGTTTGAGTTCAAGGCTTTGCTGTCTAGGGTGATCTGTCCATGAGGTTCAAAGGGTGTTGATGATGCTTCGGATAGACATGGGCTGGGCATGGAGAGAGGTGCAGACCTCTTTTGCAGCATGGGATCATCGTACGCTGTTTCAGCACAAGGGTCCGAAAGGTCTTCTTTCAGTACATACCGACGGTTCAAAGATGGCTTCGGGTCGGGGTTTGTTCAGGAACCCGTCTCCAAGGGTCCTGATGTCAAGTCATAATGGAGCTAGGGCAGAACTGCATTGCAGTGTGCTCCCATCTTTCCGATTGCAGGGCATGTCTGCATGCGACTAAAGAGCTATAGCTTCGCAGGGGCAATTGATCCACCACCACGAGGACTTATTGCAACACGGGTCGATCTTCAAATCGTAGCCTTGCCAGCGAAGCACTTTAACTCTTTTCGGTGCCAGTCAGCACCGATTTGCTATGTTATGGATTGTTGCATCTTTGTTGGTACATAGATTGTCAATTGGGCAGCGGGAAACGATTCTGACTTCCTGCATTCGATTCGAAGGGTGCGATGCTGTTCCTTGACCTGCGTGCGACATGCCGTGTGGCCGTTCTCGCGTCCAAGCTCAAAGAAGCTGCATACGCATCGTTTAAATAAACAGAAGCTTCGGCCTAGTTACGAGAGCCTTCCCTATTGCAAGTAAGGGGCCACGCAAAGCAAACAGAGTCAGTGGAACGCCGTTAAACTTGTGCAGATAAGTCCAGCCTACACGGACAGTTGTCTGCTCCAAGACAAGATCAGAATTTCAGGCCACGCACCACGCAGGGTTTCAAGGCTTTCAGCCTACACCCAAAAGCACAAAAGCAAGTGCACCAAGACCTCAAAAGGCACTTAGTTTGGGGTCTGCGGTCAAAGTTGGCCTACTTGCATCCATAAGGTTAGGAGTTTGGGATTCTGTGGGGAGTTCAGTAGGAGGGGTTCAGCCTCGTCGCCGATGGTATGCGCGGGGTCTGGGCCATTGCCCTGGTACTGGCGGCCCGGAACCCGAGCTTTGGAGGGCCTGGGGGGGGTTTACGTGTTTGGGTTTTGTGGCTTGGGTTTTATGAGCTTTCGGGATTTCCCGATGCTATAGGTTTGGGGGTTTGGTGCAGTTTTGGGGTTCTTAGGGCTTTGGCCAATGGGAAGCCAAGGTCCTTGTGTGCAAACCTCAAAAGCGGAACCCTAAATTCCAAACGCTTGGTTTCGAGTCTTTTCCCCCAGCATATCAACGGCAATGGGGCTTTGGGCTACACACCACGCCCCCGTAGCCGTTACGCGATTGACGCCTCAACTAAGTTGTATCTTATCGGAGCCCTAACACCTCTAGCGACTCTAGCGTTAACTCTATCTTAATGCAGGCCAGACCTGCATTGCATTCCTCTCCCGAGCCTGAAGCCGGTACAGAGTTTAGGATTTAGCATGGCAGACTGGCGGCGGCCTTAGCCCGAGACATCTATCGCTCTTGCTTTTGAGGCCTGTGTACACTGTACCGATGGCAGCTCTGTGCGGGCCTCAGAAACGCCACCCCCAGAGGTGTGCAGAATGATAGCCTTGTATGATCTTGTATGTGGGTGCTCGGGTACGGTCAGTCCGGGCTGGAAATTCCGGGCATGTGCAGCCGAGCAATTCTAGTTTGTGATACGGCTTTGCAAGGTTTTCAAATGCCTGTTCATGTTTTACCCCAGGATTTGTTGAAGCTTCTTGGAATTTGCGGGGTTTCAACTTTCAACGAGTGGTTGACAGCTTCTCTGGCTGCAGACGCTGCTGCGATAGGTTGCTTTATCCGCTTACGGCTCCTGTCGTCAGATCGTCAAAATTATTGAGACTTTCGTCAGAAGCTTTGATCTGCAGCTGGCGACCAATCCATTTCCTTGCCCCCACAACAGATTTGCCTCCACTTCAACACCTCGCTTCGGCAGCCTGCGCATGCGAGGTCGAGGACGACAATGGCACGAACTCGACAAACGACACTATCACTGTTACCGGCACCTTGGAGCCACAAGCAAGTCTCCGGAAGCTGGTGCCGTTCAGTCTTGAAGCTGCCCTGACTGTAAACCTTGAACCCTGCACCCTAAACTGGCCCTGAACTCTTAAACTCCGACAACCCACTTAGCCGCGTAACTTATCTATCCCCTTCCTTTCTCTGAGAGATGTTGCATGATGTTGCTTTGAGCCCGTTCAGATCGCCGGAAGACAGTTTCCAAAGCACCCCGAGCCCAAGAACACAAGTCGTTCCAGGCTAGCCTAAGTGTCACCAGCATCGACGAGAGGCCAGAGCATGTGAGTTTAGTATCTTCGGGCTCCCCATGGCCGAGGTACGACTCTAACTTCCACGACTTTGTCGACCTACACAACTTCAAGCACCTCAGCGACCTCCACGCTCTCTACGAGCGCCACTTGGACCAGCTCCAGTACGACCAGGTCCAGTACGACCAGCCGCTCGTCTCTTTCTGACCGTACTTCAGTGTCTTCTTCAGCAACTCAAGCGAATACAAATTACCATAGTCACGCAACAACAACTGCTCAAGTGCGGATGCTTTCTAGCGAGCACCCTTGAGGGATTTAGGCCCAAATGCTGCGCAAACGTCATCTCATCTTAGTCAGCATCATCATCATCATCATCACCATCATTATTGATAACTATCATCATCATCAGCAGAAGCAGCAGAAGCAGCACTATGATCGTCTCCACGGTCCGTCACAGCATTTTAGCAGTTGTCATCAGCATCTTTCATCTGCAACAGCAGTTGCACAGAAGTGATTGCGTGGTTTCTGTCACGTCTGCAATGACAGTGGACACTGTTCCAGTAGATGCTGTTCGGGCTGCGATCGCGGTGATGGCCATTTTGAATTTTGCCAGTTGCGATTTAAAGAGATTGTTGCATGCAGCGTGGGATTGTTGAACTGGTGATGGTGAGGTTACTTCCGTGCAGGAGCACGGAAAAAAATCTGAGATATTGAAACAATAGGACCTTGAATCGATACACGCTCGAACAGGATACCCCCACGTCCCGTGGATCATCTCAGTATGCTCAGGTTGGACGGCCAGTAGCACGTCGACTCTCTCCGAGCCTTGTCGAATCTCCGCTGTCTTCCGCAGATTTCGCAAGCCCTAGCAGTTGAATGCAGGGGGTGTTGCTTGCGTAAGTCAGCGGCATGTCTCTTAATGCATGGTACTTTTGTTCCTCCGATACTGGAAATGCAGTGATGGCTTCTGGATTCTGGAGAATCCAAAAAGACACACTGCTCGCAGTCGTACTTTATTGGTAACGACACAGCAGTCGTCATTGGGGCGGCTTTTGTTTTAGTTCAGTTGCCGAAATAAGCAACTCGTAGTTTGTTCTAGGTCAGTTGTGGAAATAAGTATACTCTTCTGAACCTTGTCTGCTGGTATTCTCATTCTCCGAGGTGTCGACCACCACGCACTCCATCACTGCCACGACTAGAACAACTTCTACAGGTGTGACGAACACCAGCACCAGCTCCACGCGGACAACCAGCTTCACGAGCACCCTCAGCACGATCAGCACCACGCCTGTGCCTCAGAAAAGCCTTCCAAAGCTCTCGATCTCCAGCTGTTGCGCACGGGTCTGTTCGTCAAAGGTACATTGGGATTTCAGTGGGTACTGGTAGGGCTTCAGCAGTGCTTCGGGTGTTCTGGTATGAGGCCTCAAAGCATAAACCCCGAACCCTAAATCTATTTGTGCAGCACCTGACCTCGTGGGCTCAGGTCTTCGACGCAAACACAAACGACGAGCACCGCAACCTCTTTGACTTTCACAACCAAGACTGACACCTTCACCGCCAGCACGACGACATTCAGCAGCTCGGATGACTTGAGCTGCAAACCTTTGCGGCCGAAACTGCACTGCCTAATACAGGAACCTGATGTTCAGTGTATTTCAGTGTAGTATTAATGTTCGGTTGTTGTATAAAGACATTGGGGTGATCATAAATGGACAGTCGGAGCCCTGCTTTGAGGGAGCGATTTTAGGAAAGTTGTACTAATTCCGCTACTACATCTAATGTCAATGTTCAGAAGACCTATGAACCGAGGGAGAGAGCTAGAGAGAGAGCGAGAGACAGAGAGAGAGAGAGAGAGAGAGACAGACAGAGAGAGAGAGAGTGATATTATATATATAATTATAATTATATATATATATAATATCTCTTGAGATGCAGAGACAAAGAGAGACATAATGTAGATTCGGCTTCGGTGAAGTCGGATCGCGAAGGCCTTCGTCTGAGCTTTGCGGTCATCTCTTGTCTACGCAAGGCTTTCACATACGGAGTGGCGGTTTCAGCTTGGAGTTTCGGGTACAGGGTTCTATTGTGGGAGGTTAGGGCTTTTGATCTGGGCTCCGGAACATGCATCCTGCGGTTCTTGTCATTTTCGTCTGGGTTTAAGCTATATAACCCATGGTAGGCTGTTCCCAAAGACTCCAAAGACTTGCCGATGGAATTCCAAGGCAAATGACACATGGTGTGAGAGTTGAGGCTTGCTTGCTTCTTAGACGAGCCCTGCATGTAAATTGGCTCGGTTCTGCGTCGGATCGCACTGTCGCAACACATGGACTCCAAAGGATCGAACTTGCACGTTGCTGAGACTTTTGTATCAGAGGATCCACACCACTTCCGCAGTACACCACCAACCCTGGCCTGCAATGGCAACCACAGAAACCTCAACCCCGAGAGCCCCGAACCTGAGCCTGCTCCAAACCGTCAGGATTTTGGTGCGATAGAGAGCTTTAGAGGCTTTCCTCATGGGAAGCAGCTTGAGGCAACACTTCCACAACCACGACCGCCACGAATACAACGACCAGCATCACGGTGTCTTTGGTGGCATTTAATTTCAAGAAGCCGGTATTTTTTTCAGAATCCCGAAACTGCAAGCCCTGTAGGCCCCAACGACCTTCTCAGACGCGCCCGAACATCGGTTCGGGAGCCACACGTCTAGCAATCTCACAGGTCCTCAACTGCATACCTGCTTCCGAGCATTAACAGCCTGAACCGTCCCTTTCGCTCAGAATGACCGCACTCGCAGGATTAGTTGCTAATTGGGATCTCGCGCCAGCTGCAGCCACGATACCAAATTCTGCAGATGGGACAGGAAGCGTCCCTTGTTCCTTTTGCTACTCCGGATCCTGTAATTTGCCGAATCTGATATTACGGAGGACCCTTGTTTAGGCAGTTGCATCATTTAGAGGTCATGTACGCTCCTATCTACCCATGTAAGGGAACCCTACCCTATCCCCTTAAAGCGCCAAGTCCCAAAGCTTTCGGCCTGGACCCTGAATCCTATAGCCTCCGCCCGAAGCCTCAGCCTTTTCACAGAGAGAATCCAAGCCTAAGGAGACGATGCTCCTCGCTTGCATGCAGACGGTGTGGGCGTAGGGCTGATGGAGTATGTAGGCATCGGCTTTAGAGCGGAGGGCTCAGGCCTATTTCAGGGTATAGGGCCTGGGGATCAGGGCATCCATCTATTTCGACATGGACAATTCCGGCTAGGAGCTGGGAGGTGCAAAGGCTCTGTTTTGTTTCTTGTTGGACAACTACGATGGGTGGTTTGAGGTATGACCACGGTTGTATGATTACACTTCCGGATTTTTCTACTTGAGGATTCAGGACTCATAGACTTATAAGATACATGTACAGGGCATATCGGTCTATCCAGATCTTAGTGTAGGGGTTGACGGTCTCAGGGATTAAGACCTGGAGAAGGGTGACGAGAAAGACCAGAAGGCCATGATTCCGAATGATTCGGGCAGCTCAGACCTTAACCCTGAAATCGAAGATCCACAGACACAAAGCCGCAAAGACCAAGATGAATGCATCTTCCAACTGAACGGTCTCGGGGGTGTGAAACTTCCAGTGCCAAGGACGTCGACTTTTACCGGCACCTGGTTTGAGATTCACGCGGTTGTGCTCCTGAATCTGGTAACCGGAAATGCGTCGCTCAGCTCAAGATCCTTGTTCCCACTTCCACCCTCCAAGGGCAACTACGGCTGTAATGTCGGACTTGATTTAATCAGAAGCCTTATAATTCCGAATCGCCAGATATCAGACAAGAAACATTGAACAGTGGATCTGGATGTATTTCGTGGCTTACGGTTTGTGCTTGATCTGGTCGCCGGACTTTACAGTCTGTCATACCGGCGGAATCTGGCATGTGGTCACATAGAGCTTGCTCTTTGGTGTCTCTTTAACCTGCTTCCTGATTACAAGGGTTCTTCAAATCCTCGGCCACGCACTAACACCTAGCCTGCAAGCCTATTATCGCCCCACTTCTGAACAACGCTCGGAGTAGGGCGTGCAACTGAGGAACACGCATCCCGCCAATATTCCATCACCTACCCGTACCTAACTCCCGCTGTATCAGTGAGTACGGACATGGACCATGTCAGGGCCTATCTCAACAGCGAACCCAGCCGTCAACATGCGGGAGTTTCAGACAAACTTAGA